TACCCTACCTAGTTCCTACCCATAAATCACGTGACTATACCTATACCCTACCCTACCCTACCCATCCGCCAGCCTAATTATACCTAAGCACTGCTAGAAACTAAATTAGACTAGTAGACAGCGCTATAGGGTAATAATATGTTGTAAAGACAAACAAGCTAATTAACGCAAGAAGCGCCTCTGTCTAAGCTGCTCTGTTGTTGCTATCTAGCGCGTCCTATAGCTTAATCCTAAATAACTTCTACTTGTCTGTCCATGTGAAGAGCTTACGTGCATCTTTCACCCTATCTAGCTGCGTTTAATTGCGTGTTGTACGTCAGGGCCACAGGCTGTCGCTATCAGCTTTACTGCTCTTGCCGTCATCGTCCTCCTCGCTGTCCTCCTCGCTGTCCTCCTCGCTGCCTGATACTGAGCAGCTTTCTGCATAAGCAGCTGCATTCTGCTGCTCTCCAAAGCGCACAATCTGCTGCTCTTTGTCGGCTAGTACCCGCAGATCGAAGCTGACAAACCTCACCATGTAGCTTGTGTACACTGCCTAACTCTCTAGATTCTGCAAGCGCGCTAATAGTCGCACGTCTAGCTCCTCTCGCTTTGCGCTCCACAGCTAGCGCCTCAACTCTTGCGGGAGCGTAGCTAGTCCTTTCACGCTTCTTTTAATCAGCCCTTTAGTCAGCTAAGCAGCCAGCTTAATCTTGCGCTCACTGTGATTAGGCAGGCAGGCTTAATACGCTAGATAAGCGAGATTCTAGTCCTTAAAGAACTCTAGCTAGCCTATGTGCTTAAACTATCCTGTCTTATTAGTCTTTACAGCTTCTTCTAACATGGTTGGCAAGCAAGTCAGTCAGACAAGTGAGTTGGTTACCCCACTAACTTTTGCAACTTTAAAGCAATATATCTTAACAACGCAATAATATTATTGCTAGATATTAATATAGTAGACTAACGTAGTTCACAAGCGAGCGGTCCAACCCAAGCGAGCGGTCCATCCCAACCATGATAGCCTAATAACTACTTTGCATTACAATGCCATCCCAACGCAACGTGCAATTAACCTATACTAAAGGGACCTTACAGCTTGCTATCTAAGCTACAATTAAAGATTGCAACAAGAGCAAAAGACGCGCTATTGCAGCCTTCAGCGTACCTTAAACTACTGTCTGCTAACAACGCCAAGGAGCCCTCTCTTAACGCGATCGCGACCCCAATTCAAAGAAGCTGAGCAAACTGGAGGAGGATGCCCTTGTACAACGTATACTTGAGCTTGATACAAGAGGAATACCTGCTACAAAGGCTATGGTGCGAGATATGGCCAATGATCTGCTTGCTGAGCGCGGTGGAGAGCCTGTTGGCAAGCACTGGGTAGACAACTTCAAGACGCGTACGCCTGAGATCAAGCTTCGAAGGAGCCGTCCATATGATCGCCAGCAAGCCCTTAACGAAGATGCACGCGTTATAACGCCCTAGTTTGAGCTAGTTGCCAACACAAAGGCCAAGTACGGCATCACAGACGAAGACATGTACAACTTTGACGAGACAGGCTTTATAATAGGGGTTATCTATGGCTAGATAGTCTTTACAGGCTCTGAGAAGCGTAGCACAAAGAGCCTGCAGCTAGGGAACCGTGGTTGGGTCACTAATATACAAGGAGTTAACGCCAAAGGATAGGCTATCCCACCATTCCTTATCTTCCCTAGCAAGGTCCTTATTACCTTATGGTTTTACAATCTACCTTAGGATTGGGTAATTAAGGTTAGTCCTAATGGCTGGACGTTGAATGAGCTTGGTATTGCCTGGCTAAAGCACTTCAATACCCATACAAAAGACCGGAAGGTGGGTGCACACAGGCTGCTGATTGTGGACGCCCATGAGAGCCACAGCTCACATGAGTTCCACAAACACTGTGAGGAAAAGAAGATTATTGTTCTCTGTATGCCTGCTCACTCGTCGCACCTGCTGCAGCTACTTAATGTGGGTTGCTTTTCGCCTTTAAAGCGGGCATATAGTGATGAGATCAGTGGCTTGGCACAGTACGGCTCCAAGCAGATCAAGGAGGCTTTCCTACCAGCCTTTAAAGCAGCTTTTAAGAGGTTAATCACGAAGGAGAACATCTGTGCAGGCTTTAGGGGCGCTGGACTAGTTCCACACAACCCAGAGGCGGTGATATTAAAGCTTAATGTGGTCCTTTGTACGCTAACTCCACTAAAGCTAGAGGACACCCTATAGGAATCGAAAACTCCAAGCAACCTCCGTGAGATAGAGGCTCAGTTAACGCTAGTTTGTGAGCGTGTACGACTGCACAGAGATTCCCCAGTTTCTCCTCTGCTTAGAGCAGTCGAGCAGCTGAACAAGGGCATTGCACGGATAGGGCATGATAGCGTGTTAATGCGACAGGAAATAGCAGGGCTTCGCAAGGCAGTAGAGATAGCAACAGAGGTTAGAGGTCGAAAGAGGAAGTATATTCGGGCAGCAGAGAGTCTCACAGTAGGTGAGGTAGCTGATTTAATAGCTGAAAGGGAGGGTAGTGGGCAGCAGGGGGGCGGAGAGCCTGCAAAGAAGGTGCACACACAGAGGCGTTGCGGACGTTGTGGAGAGACTGGCCACAACGCTCGCACCTGTGCAGTTGAAATTGTAGATGCATCTGATAGCGACGAGTCTAAATAGTATCTCTATCACCTGCAAATTGCAGTAAGTGGTGGTGGTGTTGCAGCATATGCATTGCAATCATCTTAACTCTGTTAGGTGGACCACTCGCTTGGGTTGGACCGCTCGCTTGTGAACTACGTTACTCTATATTAATAGTATTAGCGTTGCATGTGCGCGAGTTGTGCCCAGTCTCTTTACACCTAGTGCAGCGCCTTTGAGCGCGCTGGCTGAGGCCTGATCGCGCTCCTCCTTGACGCTCTTCATGAGCAATCTGCTGGTCAGCCTCATTTTGAGCCAGTATATCCTCTCCA